CAATATAGGTTGGGTACAGACAGTGCTTTATAGGTTGGTTTCATAGAGTAAAGTAACGCACTAGAGTTATTAATACCAAAAGGTAATTTTTTTATGTTTTTTCGTTTCTCTATGCTGCCAGTTGGAACGAATGAAGTTAATGGTAGAACTGGTAAGTAGTAAAAGTAATAAAACTTGCACGTGCTTTTTGTATGTCAGTAAGTTGTGTCTGTTTAGTGATATAGATTTTCTTGAAGTATCTGTTACCCTCAACGTTCAGGATTACAAATAATTATCCATTTTATCTGCTAAATACCAGTCTTATAATAATAAACAAAAAAAGGTATCGGTTGTCACTAAAGTGATAACCGTAGATTTGTTTTAAACTAGCTGGTTTGATGTATCATTATGTGTGTTTAATGTTATCAAAACATAGGGAATCAAATATATGTTGTTGTTGGTTTTTAATTTTGCATATAATTTTCTTTTGTTTTGACAACAGCGTTCGTCCAGACTTTGTAATTGAAGAAAAACAAAGTTACATGTGACACACAAGACATACACTGACTCAAGAAAAAAAAAAAAAAAGGCTTAAAGAAGAAAATATTAAACAAACACTAGGAGGCGGTAAAACATGCATTCAACCAAGTATATTCCGTGATAAAAAATAATAATAATAATAACCATGGCTCGACGTGAAAAAAGTAAAAAGAAAAAAAATCACTTTGAAAATTTAAAAGCAACATTTCGTTCAAGAGTGAATATTTCAGTACTCCCAGGAATGTTTTTCGTCTTTGTTTGCACAAAACTACACAATGGGGTCTATCTGCCCTTTTTCCTCCACGCAGGTAATCGAACCCTAGGTTTTAACGTTGTAAGTTCGTGAAACTATCGCCGACCCAGAGATGAATGAAAAAACGAAAATATCAAATATTCCACGAGTAAGATCTTGTAAGGTTAATGTTGAAAAGATTGCTAATATTTGGAGTTAAAAATATAATACTTAATGCCTTTCGGATTTAACACGATAAATAAACTAAACGTATGTTTCCAACGACTGTATCGGGTAAAGAATGTATTTAATATTCCCGTAATTTCGTATAATCAAGAGATCACTTAATAAGCTCCCCCGGATGTGATTTTATAGCGCTAAAATCTGGGGATTGATCCCTGCAGTGAACATAACCCAGGTATCCCATTCCGCTGTTTAATGCTAAACAACAAACACAAATCTAGGTCGGGTGTGATCTAGTCAAGAGTGGCCCAAGAATCGGCGGAGGGTGCTGTTGGCTATATCCTTTCCCTATAATCTATCGTCCCCAGTAGTTCAGCGGTAACTCTGAAACTTATAACGCTAAAAAACCGGATTTTTCAATACTCGTGGTGGGCACAGCACGGATAGTCCATTGTGTAGCTTTGCTCTTAACAACAAACAGATTCTAGTATATTAGCCCAAAACTAAGGCTTGCTTGTTAAGATAGCCGATTAGTAGTTTTGTGCGAAAACTGTAAAACAAAACAAATCATTAAGTAAACCAATTATTCAGTGCGATAGAGAAGCCATTTTGTAATACGGTAATTTCAAATGATCAGTATAGCACCAAGTACTACACAGAATGTATGCGATATAATCCATTAAACACTTTTAGAGCGTAACGTGTTGGATAAGTAGAATATCATACGCTGTTTTTAGTATTCGATTCTGTAAGCACTTTTACTACACAGAGTAAAGCCTTTTGTTTGCCATATACGGTGGCGCCACCTAGGAGGAGGAATTTAGCCGTGTTGACATTTAAAACAGCTTTCTACTTCAATAATAATCATAAATGTAACCTTGTTGAGTACAGTATCCCAAGGTTAATTAAATCAACGTTGTACACAAGCGAAATATCCGATTATATTATCAGATTGATTTTTTTTTATTCATATCTGTTCACTTTGTCTCTTCCAGCACATAGAGCAAATCCTTTTGTTGGCACTAGTGTCAGATCCAGTTCACACTTTTCTCTAGCGACAACAGCAAATAATTTTGTTATTTATAGAGTTTGATTCTTTTCACTCTTTTGTTTAGCGTAAACACCAAATCCTTTCGTTGGCACTAGTGTCAGATCCAGTTCACGTTTTTCCTCTAGTGAAAACAGCAAATCTTTTTCTTGGGTCCATTGCTTGAAACTTTCCTTGCTTTTCTTTGGCGAAAATCAAATCCTTTTGTTATTTATAGAGTTTGATTCTTTTCACTCTTTTGTTTAGCGTAAACACCAAATCCTTTTGTTGGCACTAGTGTCAGATCCAGTTCACACTTTTCTCTAGTTGGCACTAGTGTCAGATCCAGTTCACACTTTTCTCTAGCGACAACAGCAAATAATTTTGTTATTTATAGAGTTTGAATATCTTCACTCTTTTGTTTAGCGTAAACACCAAACCCTTTTGTTGGCACTAGTGTCAGATCCTGTTCACGCCTTTCTTTAACGAAAGTCAAATCCTTTTGTTACTTATAGAGTTTGATTGTTTTTACTTCCATTCTCTTCGTGCTGTCTTTTAACATACACACAGAGAAAATTCTTTCATTGGTTCCTGTGTTTAATTTATTTGTGATTTTTCATAGCGCTTAAAGTGTTGATCTTTCTGTGGGTATTTTTATTTGTTTGTTTATTTCTTCTTGTTGTTGTTTTTTTACTTGAATTTAGCGTAAAACTTCTTTTGGGCTCCCCGTACTAGCTCTTTATATCAATACGCGAATAAATCAAACGCACATAATAACCGCGTAGGAGCTGACTAATTAAGAAAATAGTTCAGACGCGTTATGACGTGAAATCTCCACCTACGCTGTCTATCAAAACTGCTAGTCAATACAAACTACACCCTGCTGTAAAATTCCAACTCGTCCCTGCGTTCGAGGTTAATGAGTTGATGTCTCTTTGGTGTTAGGCATGGGTTAACTTTACGGGTATCCAAATAGAAAAGACAAAAAAAAAAAATAGTGGTTACTCCGTATGTTTCATCTTCTACGTCAACCAGATTATGCTATTTTTTCAAAATGTTTCATGTAATTCGCCTTACAAAATGTAATCAACATCGAATTATTAATCAAATTTGAGCGTTGTGTTGCACGATTTACAAACCATAAACAAACAAAAAATGTTACGCATAGGTTGTTTAAAATTGATTTTTCTTGCGTATTTTGGCCCTGGATGGCCAGGTGGCTAGGGCGCTCGCATTCTGAGGGTCGCGGGTTCGAATCCCCATCTTACCAAACATGCTCACCCTTTTAGCCGTGGGGGCGTTATAATGTGACGGTTAATCCCACTATTCGTTGGTAAAAGAGTAGCCCAAGAGTTGGCGGTGAATGGTGATGACTAGTTGCCTTCACTCTAGTCTTACACTCCTAAATTAGGGCCGGCTAGCGCAGATAGCCCTCGTGTAGCTTTGCGCGAACTTCAAACTTGCGTATTTTAGATCTACACTCAACTTTATCCTTTATATAATCAGTTGCAGTGGATTTCCAAAGACTTTCCTTTGAAGTAATAAAACACTCATCTCCCGTTTTAAACAAAGATTTCTATTTTGAAATAGTTGTTTGCGTTCCCAGACTGTAATTACGAGGATTCAAGGTTCGCATCCTGTTGTCGTAAAAACTCAATCAGTACTTTGGTGCCATGGGTGAGTTATAAGGGTGACGGTCAAATTCCACTATTCGGTCAGAGAAGAGTAGCCCAAGAGTTTCCCGAGGAAAGCTTGTTACCCATATCTAGATCAAACCTCTTTCCTAAGGAAAACTTATCACCCATATCTAAGTAAAACCTCTTTCCTAAGGAAAATTAGTCACCCACGTTTTACCGATATATGGGTGACTAGCTTTCCTCTAGAAACACGTTTTACCTATATATTACAAGAACTCGACTGTTATTGTTATACAGAATGACGACTAAATTAAAAGATCTCGACTATTATTGTTATACAGAATGACGACTAAAATACAAGAACTCAACTATTATTGTTATTGTGACTAGCTTTCCTTAGAAAACACGTTTTACCTATATATGGGTGACTAGCTTTCCTTAGAAAAATACAGAATGACGACTAAAAAATAATAATAGTCGAGTTCTTGTATTTTAGTCGTCATTCTGTATAACAATAATAGTCGAGTTCTTGTATTTTAACCGCACAGTGGAGTCGTACAAATTAGTGTTTGTACAAAACTTATATAAAAGTATATTTCACCAGTTTCGCGATATACTAACTTCTCTCGCAATACACAATATAACGATAGTTACATGAATAAAGTCACCTAAGTAAACTTGTAACTTAAGAATTTAGTATAACAACCTGACAATAGAAGACTTTATGTATGTCGAAAGGAGTATGTATTTACAACAATCAAATAGAGGTGGATATAAGAAATTAAAGAAACTTTACTTAACACTAAATGCATTGAGTGTTATTTGAAACTCTAACTACACGCCATTGACGTGTCCGTAGCTCAGGACAACTCGTTTTTCTCCAATTACAAGATAAGATGTTTTCGTACAGTTAAACATATAATATTTCGTAGTTTACACTAAATCCGGAAAGAAAAAAATTATTTGTAATTTATTATTATTGTTTGTTGTTTTTTTTTTGCAAGCGAGAATGTGTACAAGTTTACTGTTTAAGTTTTAAATGAGATTTATAGTTTACCTACCGCAGTGTTATCAAGTAATGAGGAGTTTTTACTCGTGCTATATACACAGCGTATTTCATTACTTAGTACGTTCATGTTGTGATGTATATACATTAAGTAAATATAACTCAATTGGCTGTATAAGATATTATCAATCGCATTCTTCTGCTCGCGCGAGCATCAAAATAATTGCTTTAATCACTCTTACCTACGAAACCTGTTTGTCTTGACCCGTCCTCCCTCTACTGGCGAAAGCTGGTGGCAGGTTTTCATCGCTCGTCAGCCCAAAATATATTAACTAGTGTTGATATTTTTCTTTTTTGTTATGTTTGAATAAGAACAGAAAAAAAGTCGAAAACAAAGACCGATGTGTTCGTTTGATCTTGCATATCTAATTGAAAGAAGCGTCTAATGAAATATCACACAAACAAACGCACACTCGGCAACTGTAAATATATCTGGAGCGTTCATTATCCTGTCACTAACGTACTAGCTTTGGAATCCAAACAAGTTGGATTTTTAACAGTAAACGTAGGTGAAGGAATTCCCGAATCTCATCTGAATCTATTCGTCAGTTTCTGATAACGTGACGAATTAGCGAAAACCTGAAAAATAAATACAGCACCGAGTACAATAAAATGCAATGTTTCGACATATTTGGTGGGTTTTTTTTCGAGATTATTATTATTACATACATATCTAAAAAATATTTTAAGAATACTATATATGTGTATATAATCATTACACCGCCATAGCCTGTACTTTGATTTTCAGCTTTTTTTTATTTCACTAGCGTAAAAGCCCGTCAAAAATGAAACCACTGGAAACCAAAACTGGCAATACACGAAGGAAATATAAAATTTCCTTTCTCAGAAACATACTACGTATTGCCCCTGAATCCACTACATGTAACTGAGCAAACATGCTACATATTGGTGCATTTGGATAATAGATTAAAACATACGATTACCATGTGATTCCATACAACACCTGTTCTTCTTCTGAGGGAATGTCGTCCTCTTCCCTACAGATAATTGGTATCTTCAATCTGTTTTAACAAAGGCTTTTTGGTCACAATTCCAAAGCCGCTAATTTTTGACTTATTTTTCACAGGAATCCTACCTAGCTCGCCCCCCCCCCCAGTGGCACAGCGGTATGTCTGCGGACTTACAACTCTAGAAACCGGGTTTCCATACCCGTGGTGGGCAGTGCATAGATAGCCCATTGTGTAGCTTTGTGCTTAACTTCAAACAAATAAACCTACCTGACTTGACGTCATAATGATGTGGTGCCACACACATAACGCCACCCCTGATCTGCTCCTGGGACTCTCTCCTTGACAGTTTTTTTATACAGCAGAAAAAGTGCCGAAATTTAGGAGCTATTTACGCCTATGTTAGCATTTGAATTAAACTTAAATGGGAACGGGCAATCAAAAGAGTAAGTATTATAAGAGAAAAAGTGGAATTGGACTCGTGTAACTCACGAAATTAGGAGAAATCGAGCGTGACCAACTAACTGACCGACCGACACTTGGCTTATATATATTGATGATTTTACTATCTACATTTAGGAGCTTCTACGTTGTGAGACCACGTTCTGGAGTAAGAACAGTAACTGAATATTTTTAAACTGTAAAAATTACAACTGCTTTTGACGCCCCCCTCTTCCAGTAGCTCAGTGGTAAGTCTGAAGGCTTATAACGTTAAAAATTTGGTTTCGATACCCGTAGTGAGCACAGCACAGATAGTCCATTGTGTAGCTTTGTGCTTAACTACAAATAAAGCAAACAACAAAAAAAAGTTGTTGATGTTATAAGTTCTTTTCGACAG